TATAGAAAATATTTCTCAGTCCCATTTATCACTTTTCCACCTGTTTTTGAATAGTATAATAACCCATGATCATCATTTCGTTCTGAAAAACGCGCATTGACAGTGAAAAACCAGTCACCGGCGAGTGCCCTGTGATGCCCGTTGGGTGCCATCGTGGGGTCAAAACCCGTCCCTCTGTGCCGTTCCCCGTGGCCGCGTGGCCTAATGGCGAAGGCGTCGGTTTCCGGAGCCGAAGATTGCAGGTTCGAGTCCTGCCGTGGTCGAAATTTTTTGCTTTTTTGGGGATTGATGCAGAACTTCCGGGGAGTACCGGGCAGGTATTTGTTTACTGATTATTGCTTCTATAACTTAATTATGTTGATTTTAAGAGTACAATTTTGACCGTCAAAAAATCACATTTTTGTAAACTTTGGAGTTAGAAAACAAAAAACGCAAGGCCATAATCGCAGCAAAGTTTAAAATATACTATTCTGGAGTACAGTAGGACCAAAAATTCATAAAATGGTGTGTTTTTGCAGTTTTCTTTGAATAGGAAAGCGTGTAATCGAGGAAATGGACTCACTCCAGTGGGATCACACGGATGAGAAATGTGGTATCTTCGTGTTTGGGATTTTTGATGAGCTACGAACGGGTGTTTTACTCCAGGGGGAAAAGTCACGCCTACCAAATGGGGCTTCCGGAAAGCCGAGAAAATAATTTGGAAGCCGTCTAACCTGAGAAATCGCGAAAACACCATCTATATTTAACGTTTCTTCGATGTAATTGTACAAAATAAGCACAAAATAGTCTTTAAAGTAGATATTTATCGAAGCTGACATACAATAATCCCAAAAATTACATTTAATTCGTTAGTAATGCTATTTTTGAGGGATTTGCTCCTGCCATTTCCGTCCAAAATAAACCCTAATCACGCTCATCCGGCCCCATCTCCTGCTTTTTGGCCGCTACACAAATTTGATAGAAATCTTTATTGCTCTGAAGACACACCGATAAATAAAAATCCAACAAAAAGAGACCCGTCTCCCGTTAGAATAGCCATCTACAAATGGTGCAACATCTTCATGACCGAGTGGTGGATGTCGCGACGCATCCTGAAACTGAAAAAGAGGAAGTAGCCTATTGGGGTAGGGTGTATGGGGTCGTTAAAAGCTATTGGAAACTTGTTTTTGCGAGAAAACGCGGCAAAATGAGTTCCTGAAGTTGTCGACCGATTGTAAATAGCTTGAAAACTTCGTTTTTTTTGGGAAATTGCAAACGCAAGAGCAGTGGTATTTCAGGAAACTATGATTTAACGTGTACAAATGTCGAACTTTTCTGAATGAATAATTATGTAATTTTTTACCCGATCCGGCACTGAATAGCCACGGGGCATCGAAGGGGTGGTGGGGCACAACCAGGGCATTCCATCACCGGCGCTGAACAACGACACGGTACCGGGCGTGGGGCCTAAAGAGAAAAATACACAAATTATAATTATTGATCTAAATAAAGAGATAACTCTATTCATTTTAAAGGCTACCGAGCATTGGCATGGCTGAGGCTGGATTGGCTGGCAGCACGGGTTGGCCGGGGATGGAGCCGCCTGAAACACATAATTTTTCTAATTTCTACAAGAGTTTTGAGAGGTTTTTTAATCGAAAACTGTAAACTGTCGGTCAGAAAAGCGATTGGTAAAAAGTAAGCCTGATCAGACATCAGGTTTAAAAAATTTGAACTGAAGATTCAACTTTTTTGCGCCAATTTTCGATATCTTGTCGAATATCTAGCTAAAAATATGGAAGTTCCGGTTTTTAACCCACCAAACAGCACGGAGGTGGTGGTGGTGGGGCTGGAGGAGCCAGAGCTTGGCAACAAGGATTGGCCGGGCTTGGGGAAGCTTTGCAGCAGATTACTGTCTGAAAAAGGTGGATATATTGTTGTTTTTGCTCTGTTTCTCTCTCTCTCTCTCTCTCTTCTTTCTCTCTCTCTCCCTCTCTCCTACCTGAATATAGGGTGATGGCGGCGCAGAGCATGGACAGCTTGGCATGGGTGCTGGTGCTTGACAACATGGTGGTGGTGGTGGAGGTGCACATGGGCATGGAGGGACCGGGTTAGGCGAGAGACAGCAAGGAGGAGGAGATGGGCGAGGCGCCGCACAACATGCCTACAAAAATAGGATGATTTTAGAATTTAAGCATTTTTAAAACGTTAAGACTACAGATTTTTCCGGAATTTTTAAGGTATTCTGGGAATCCGAGTGATGAAACCGTAAAACGAACCGGACACATAATACAAAGTGGAGGAGGCGCACATCCCATATCATCACATTGCCGCTTATGCCTATCCACTCGCATTGTAGACGAGGGGGAATGCGCCAGCTTTGAGAAATCGGACAGCCGGGCCTGAAAATAAGATTTTTAGAGGCCTTGCGTTGATTTTTTAAGGGGCAGGTTAGCAGAGAATTTTAGGATTATTTGCGGTAACTGAAATTGTGCTGTTCCAATGATCTCGGTTACCTTGTCTCAACTTTTTTGGCTTCTTTAGTTTGCTTTGCGCAGCTTTTAATGCCTAGCCATGCTAGCAGAGAATTTTTAGGAATTCGCGCAGGTCAGCAAAACTGCTTCTCAAAAGATCTCTGCTAGATTACCTCAATTTTAGCCAGCATACTTTTTTTTCCCGGCATGTTAAACGCGTGGCACAATAGCAAAAAAACCAGATCTTTAAAGGGCCATCGAATTTATTTTCCCAAAAAAATTTCTGCAAGCCTGCTTTGGTAAAGTTTTGCCTTCAATTGCCCTTTAAGGCCCGCCCCGCGAAAACATCGCGAAACCCACCAAATTGGAGCTGGGCAGCTGCGGGCTACCCTGTTGTGCCAGTGTCACCGCATAATTCTGAAGGCTAAAGACGGAAATGGTAGCGAAGAATGCTTTCATTTCTCTGGAGACGATTTGTTGATGGCTAGCCAAGACCCCTAGGGAAGTCTCGACTGATTTGGCATCTCTGGGCCGGGTATTGGACCCTATATAGTGGCCCGGAGATGCCGTCGGGGGTGGGGAAAAGCCCCACGGGGGATGACAGCCCCGTGAAAGACAGGAAGGACACCCCGAGGGGGACCCTCAATTCCGATCGGATACACCCAACACACACGGAAAAACGTGGAAATTGCGGGCGCGAGATCGCGGACGGATCGTTGGGTGGACATTTCCGTCTACTCGAATTGTCGGGGAATTTTTGAGACTGGAGATGCTCTTCTGGCCCGTAAAAATCATCATTAAAACTAAAAACAGAAATCCATATCTCACGAGAATCACGGTGTGGCGCGTTCCTTATCTTTATTTTTGTCCAAATTCGGTAAAAAACATTTCTCGAATCGCGTCTATTTGATTTTCTCTCGTTTCGGCACTTACTTGACTGTAGGATTTTCACGACGCTTTGCATTTTCAGGCTATCGATCGTGTCCCTGCTGGGGGAGACGGATTTTTGCTGCAATAAAATGGGCGGGTCCAGTGACTGATAAGCGGGGGAAAGCGATTTTTTCTGGAGTCCATTTCACGTTGCTAAGCTCCCCGACAACTTCGAGCGATAAAAAGGCCACAGAAATGTATTCAGTTGAAGATATGGTATGTTTCTTTATTTTTCTTTTGATGCCGCAACTTCTTCGAGTCATTATTACCAAGATTTTTTGTTATTGTCATTGTCGGAGAAATGTTGCTCGGTGCTACAAGAAATTGACGTTTTTAGATATCGTGGTGTGCACAGACATTTCGATGCACACGATGTCATAACAATGACAATCCTGTGGATGATATGTTGATGAAACGACGCGAGTTCGAAAATGACACTGGAAGACTGTTGGCCGAAGTGGATTTGGAAGTGTTTCGTGAAAATGTAATTCGATAAGGGCTACGTAATACACGAATCTAGATGCCCCGACTGATCAACTGCATCCGATGCTACCAAAAACATGATTTTTTCAACGATGAGCCGGTGAATACATGGATTGCATTGGAAGAGGCCCAGGTATGATAGAAATATTTATAAAACGAAATGTATCATTAGATACTCGTTCATTCGAATACTCTACAGAATTGGGTCGATGAAAACCTCGTACCACTTGCTACAAATCTGGCAAATGCTTTTGGGGAGGAAATTGAAGCGTTGCGCGAGGTAAATTTTATATTTTGTATTATTGTTTGTATTCTAGAAACAGCATCTGCTGTTGGCATCAATAAGAGAAACGAGAAATTGTACTGAATACGTGGCGGCTGTCAATCTACATTCTGAATTTTCACAAAACTATCAAAATTATCTCCTGGATATTCAACGGCAAATGCATCGAATGAAAACTGGATTTCAGGTCTGCTGATACTCTGAATTAAATTTGGAGGTTTTTAGCAATTAATTGACAATGGGAAAGCAGGAATTTCGACAGAAATTGGCATTCAAGCAGGTTCCTCATTTCCAAGCGTCCTTTCAGTCAATTTTAGAACCCGAAATGATCAGCATTGCCACCATGGCAGACTACCCGATGGACTTCTGTGAGGTATGGCTAGTTTCTAGTTTTATTATTTATTTTATACGATTTAGCAAGCTTCTGATAAACTCGTGGAAATGGTCGACAAAATGAGAGAAGAAAAAGAAGTGACTGTGGATGAAAGAGAGAAATGGGTGAAGAGAGCGATCGAGGGGAAGATGATTGTGAGAAGACATTTGGAGATGTGTAGTTCCATTTTCAGCCGGCTGAATTTATTTCGGAAAGTGTATTTGACCTTCACATGGGGTACGTGGTGTTTTATATTAAAAGGGCACAATTTCAGAATTGGGAACGATGAATGGAAGAACAAGAATCAAATTGTGAAGGGAAAAACGGACCTTCAGAAAGTGTATTGTTCTTTCATTGAGGGATTAGGTATTTTATCTTCGTATAATAAAACAAAAGGATCTAAGGGGATTGCCGCAAAGATAATCAATATCTGGATATCTGCTTTTCTGCAGCCAAATCTTGTGATATCACCCGGATGATGAATATCCTTCATTCGCCAATATTCCGCGTAAGGTTTTTGCATTTTCGAGAGAATTATCCCCCTTCCTTAATTTCTATTTTCAAGTAATTTTTTAAACATAGCATTCTTAAAAGAATTTAGGGAGTATTATCGAGAACCAACGGCGGGTTTGCAGTTGAAAACAGTCAAGAATATCCATCCGAGGTATACATTCTTCCCCCTTTTTATATAGACCGTTCTATAGATGGCTGTTTATGAATGGGTCGGTGTATGGAAACATCTAACGTTGCGGGGTAATCGTCTTCTTTTTCTATTCAATTGCCAAGAAATTACTTGCGGCAATCGAGTTGGGATATTTTTAAGAATAGTTTTGATATGCAAGTTTAATCCAGAATGTTATATTTCATTGGACTGCCTTGAGTAATTTTTGAAGCGAACCTTTATGATACAGTTTGTAATATGATCAACAGGTGATTGGTCGAGAGAGGATGGAATCAACTTCTCATCATTTATCATTCGAAGTATACAGGTAAATAATAAGAATAGACAACCGGATAAAAAAATTCATCTTAGACACTTTTTGAATGGAGGGACATCACAGGGTACTGGATGGGATATCCACGATGGCCCCTGGGTATTCTGAATTGGTCAAATTATATTGCATTATTCCATTCAGCATTTACCATTTATCGGTGAGAAACAGAGGGCTTTCGAGGAGAAATATAATGTTCGAATTGCGTTGATTACATACGAAGGGGACGAGAGGTAATCATCAAGAGATATCCTCGAAAATATCCAAGCAAATACTTGACGTGTATTTTGACAATAGACGCGTAGCTTCTTTTTATTAGCCTGTTCGGGAGATTTGGAAGACATAATTTTGCATCGGCCTCCCCCGCTCTCGCCGCTAATTCTAAGTATCGGCATGGAATTTTGACAGAGATCTCGAATTTTGCAAGTTGAAGATTTCGAGTTGGCCGGTAGATCGGCATCTATTAGTCCGCGATAAACAATAACATTTGTACAGGGTGTCCAAAAAAATTGTTCCGGACTTTGGGCTCGAATAACTTTTGATAAAAGAATATTTCACCATGCGTTACCATGCCAGAATGCTTAAAAGTGTCTGGAACTCCGATTTAGATCAACTTGATTTTTTCGGTTTTTGAGTACACAACTGTACTATTGACGCTGGTTAGGGCCGAAAATTGTGCGTTCTTGAACGGGTGGTGGGAAAATTCTGAATTGGGCCTAAAAATAGCTAATATTTATAGAAAGTTAATCCCCAAATCTTAGAATTTTTGAAGCTCTAGTTCTTCTTTTACAAGCGAAACAAATTTCACTATTTTGCAGCTTTTTGCCTTTTAATTCGCAACTCGCTTCAAATTCGCTGCCCATGCTTGACCTTTTTGCAAATGGTGTCTCCACATGATAATCTTTAACACAACACCAAATTTTACGTGATTCTATGGTATTTTAATATTGCTTGCTAAAACCTGCCCCAGAGGGATACTGTAGTTTTGGTTTTTCGCGTTTTTCTTTCTATCGTAAGCTGCGATTTTGCTTAAAATTTTATCATTGGTAAACACCCGTAGGGGTCACCTATGGGCTAAAGATCGTGGAGTTCTAGCCATACATCTTCCCAAATATGCAAAAAAAAACTTATTTTTGCATTTAGCCACGGAAAGGCCTTAATATTTTGATGCATCGGACCAAAAACTACTATTATTTGTTTTCCCAAAGGATCGAAACGTTTCTATGGTGAAAAGAACGAGAAAACGACGATTTTCTGTTTTCTACCGTAACCCGCCTGGAGCGCGTTTTATCATGCCAAGACAAAATGCCATAAAATGCCAATTGTTCGATTCTAGAATGTTCTCTGGGTGATTCTGAGAACGCAGGCAAAAAAATTACTTACTTTCTGTGGTAAATGACAAAGTTATGAGGGAAAGTGGAAAACCATCCTCGGGGCCCCATTTTGGAAAAAAAGGGCCCAGGCCGAAAAATCGAATTTTTGAAAAAGAAAAATGACCGGAGTTTCGTGGATACAATTAAAGTACGCATCGAACAGTGTATGAAAGCAGAATGCTGGAATGATCTGGCTGAAGTTAATGGTTGATTTTGATTTAAAACCCGAAAATAACGTTTTTGAAAAGCCGACTTTGGGCTGCTCTTCTAAATTCGTTTGCCATGAAAAGCTCTTGTATTTGCATGAGTTCTAATTGATTACCCAAGCTTGATCTATGCCAGAAAAATCGGGGGCTACTAAACCCTCGAGAATTTTTTACGCCGCCTCGAATTCGGGTAGATTTGGGCGTTTCATGAATTTCTTTTGAAAGATCGGATGGCACAATAAATTTGTAAATATATTTTTAGAGCGCGCCCATTAAGTAGCATTAAATAAAATTATGATAATAATTCTAGCCGCGCAATTGAATTTTATAGACTGGCACAAAGTTCTGCGAAATAGCACGAACCAACCATTTTGGAAGCGCTAAAAGGCAACCTTCCAAAGAGGTACGGTAGCTAGAAATTGTCTACATGATAGATGGACCCCAGTCCCACACAAGCAAGCAAAGAAAACGCCTAGGTTCTATTTACATTCTTAGAAATATTTTTTGAAAGTTCGGTTTCGTGACCTCGAAAAAATCCATGACCAGGGAGGGGTCGATGAAAACTCGAAAAATCACCGATCTCAAAAATTCTTTAATATGTTTATGTGATAGTATAGAGTCTGTCCGCAATCCACAACGACTTAGTTTGGGATTTTCGCCATAGGTTTTTTTAATACTCGAAATTTACGAAATTTCTCCATACTAAACTTCAGTCCGCTATAACTTTTCAACCAGTCCGCTATAACTTTTCAACCAACCAACATGTAGAGGTTGTGAGGTCACAGAGTCCAAAACCGCTCAAAATTGGTGGAAAAACCAAATAAAATACGGGGAACACGATGCGATAAAAATTAGCTGCCAATGGGCACTTTTGTTTAATAAACGTTTCATTTTATTGGAAAAAAGTGCTGCTGAAATGCACTTTTAACTGTTTTATCGGGCCTTCCGGCTTGGAAAAAAATGTTTTGATGGAATTTTTTATAGCAGCCACGACACTAGACACCTTTCCACACCCAAAAAAATTTGATCTGGAAAAAATTTTTCACGAAAATTTGACGACCTATCCTATTGCCTGGGAAGGTTGGAAGCTGCTTACAGTAGGTAGCTCTGACTCCTAGGCGCTTCAAATCGGAGCCCGGAGATATTTCAGATTGCCCGAATAACTCTATTTTTATAAAGTCTGTGCAAAAATAATATTTATTAACTACCAGGGTTGAAAAGCCGCTTCGCGACTTTTCAAACCTGGGCCTGTCTATCCCCATAATATTCTTCTTTCTGCATACGTCTCTTGTATCCCGAAGAGAAAAAATGAAAAATGACACTCTCTACCTGATTATATAGGCTTTCCCCACTTCCGGTGCATGCTAATTGTTTCCTAACAAAGTGCGTGTCCGAAATTTTTACAAAAACTGAAATTTGATAATTAAAACAATTAATTTTGTAAAATCTGATAAGCGTGCAGTCATCCCAGAGCCATTACGCATCTAATGATGTATCATATTTACCTTAAAATTTATTCCCTATCGAGATATCCTCCGGACATGGTGACGGAAGTTACACACACACACACACACACACACACAAACACTATTTTTTTATATACCAGGGTTGAAAAGCCGCTTCGCGACTTTTCAACCCTGGCCCCCGTCTTACCCCCATGCTTCACCACTTTGCATAAACACCTGCATTCCTGTGCAGAAAAATTAAAAGCGCGTCCTCTCCGCATTTATATAGGCTTCCCCCGCTTCCGGTGCATGCAAATTGATTCCTAACAAAGAGGCCGAGCGCGCTTTTCACAAAAACCTAATTTTAATATCGAAAACAGCTGATTTTGAAAAATCTGATATGCGTGCAGTCGTGTCATGACCATTACGCACCTAATGACGTATCATACATACCTCTAACTTTTTCCTTTATTGAGATACGACTGGAACATACGGACGGAAGTTGCATGCAAATGCACACACACACACACAAACACTATTTTTTTATATATAGTAGGATAGTAGGATTCTGTTGGTTGTCATCGAGCTGGAATAGGTAGGTAGACCTTTTTTCCGAAGACTTCCAAAATTTTCGAAATTTTATTTTGCTGCTCCGGCAAATCTTAGGGGTTAATGGGGCCGAAAAACTTTCGAAAACACATTTTGGATTTTTTTTTGGAAAAAAGAAAGCAAAATAAAAGCGAAAACAGCAAAAAGCAAAAATTAAAAATAACGACGGGATCCGAACCTTCGACCCCTCGCTTCTCACTCCTGCACCCTACCCCTACACCACCGATCCGACGGGAAGGGGCTCCTGGGCAGACTTCAAGAGGGCTCCCCTTCCCAGACTGGTTTTGGCGCCCCAGGTCGCGATTCTAGGTGGTTTTCCAAACAAAATCTTAAAATCAAAAGTTTATTAAACAAAAGTGCCCATTGGCAGCTAATTTTTATCGCATCGTGTTTCCCGTATTTTATTTGGTTTTTCCACCAATTTTGAGCGGTTTTGGACTCTGTGACCTCACAGCCTCTACATGTTAGAAAAATCTTAAATTTTGCATGTATCTATCTAATGCCTACAATAATTTGTATAGCAAAAATTAGAAACCGCCCGCCACAGGCGGCTGAGAAAAATACAAATTAAACTTCCCCGAACGCACAGTTTTCGGGTGTCATTTGTATTGATACGTCGCCAAAAATCGAAAAAAACAAGTTGATCTAAATCGGAGTTCCAGACACTTTTAAACATTCTGGCATGGTAACGCATGGTGAAATATTCTTCTATCAAAAGTTATTCGAACCCAAAGTCCGGAACAATTTTTTTTGGACACCCTGTATACTTCCTATCCTATAAGTTAGAAAAGTATGTCTGTTTTCTGTACAGCCGATTTCTCGGCGGCCCGGCCGAATTTTGAGCTGATTTTTGGCATGGAGGTGGAGAAACACATTTTTCAGTGATGCATTTTTTTTTGTTTTTCGAAATTCCTTTATTTAAGGATTTTACAAGCAAAATAGTGAAAAATCCTTAACATTTGGGCCGAAAAAAGGTTTGTTCAGAGAATATCTCGATTGCCAGAGCGAATTGGGCGCTAATTTTTGGAGGGTAGATTGAAAATCAAATTCTCCCGATATATAATTTTGCGTTTTCTCATATTTTGTAAAATAAAGTTTTTATGAGCATTTTTCTAAAAAGTCCTTAACAAAATGGGCCACGAACCGTGGTGTCCGGGGCATAACGCGAAGCTCAGACGGAATTTCGGGCTGTAATTTGGAACAGTTATGTATTTGATAGTAGGGATCACGCGCACCTTATTATTCTTAAAAAATTTCCGCGCAATTTAGACTCAAAAAGAGAATTTTGTAAAGTTACCAGAAGTCCTCCCTCCCGGGATGAGCCCGCCCCCAGGACAGAAGACAGACCCTTTCCTGCCCCCATCGCCATCTCGCCGTTGTGTCGTGGATTGGCCCCCGGTCTACCAAGCTCGTGGCCCGGGTTCGAATCCACGCCGAAGTTAACTTTTTGCTTTTTTGGAGTTCAACAACAAAACATATTTCTAGGCGCTTGGTGTGCGAGTTTTAGGCCTCGCCCTCGCTGTAGCGGCACGCCAAGGAAAAGGTACTTGGCCAGGCTCTGGCGCAGCAGGCCAAATCCTGGGGGAAAAACAGTAACTAGCGCCGCAGGCTCAAAGATTCTAGCGCAACGCTTGCTGGCTCTGGCGCCGCAGGCCAAAGAAGGGTTCCTTGAGTCAGGTCCTCGCGCCACAGGCTTGAATAAGAGAAAATGGAATTCATGATTCCTAGACGGGTCCAGTGGAAAAGGGCCGCGAAGCGATCTTTTTCCGCTGGTTTTATAGATATTCTAATTTAGTATTAGACGATATCTCTGTATCTTCGATTGCAACAAGGTAATGACTATTTTCATGGATATTATTAAGCCTCAATTTCAGCGCGACACATTTCTCTGCTTGTATTATGCTTCGGCTCGGTAGGACATCATCTGTCTTCCACTATACTAGGGAATTGCACAGATACTTCCATATTTACATGGGTTTTCCCTTCGATTTCGAGAAATACGAGCAAATGCAGGTCAGTCAGTCCAAATAAATGTTGGGTCATGTTGGAAGATGCCGAGTAATTGCCAATCAAATATTAAAAGTGTTCAGAGCCTGTAAGAAAACCCGAAATTTTAGTTGGGCATCATCGCAAAAGACGAGACCATGAAAGTGACATCAGAGAAGATCAATGAATGGACGCATAAACGGACAATGGAACCGAAAAAGGAGGGGGGAAAGCCGCTGGTATGGACGGTAGGTGAATTGAATGCGAGATATTTGTCGAATACCAGATACCGAATGCCGCATTTTATTTTACAGGCAAACCATCGACCGACATTCGATGATATCAATTGTTTTGACTATTTGAAGGGTCCACTACCAGATATGTCTTATTGTCATGAATTCCATGAAATGTGCTGAATAAACTCCTTTCCTTTTCCAGTGTTAATCCGGAACGAGAATTTTTTTGAATAAATTGCTACGGCTAAAAATTAAACTCATTTTACAGACATTACCAACATTTAAAAATCTCTTGGGAAGTCTGATGAGCAAAATTTTTCGCATTTTTTGATCTTTTCCGAATCTACCGCGCAAAAATCAGCATATCTAAGCGGCTGATTGGGTGCGTGCGTGGGGCGTCAATCTCCCTCCCCTGCTCCCTTCTCTTATTATTTGTCGACTGTCATATTCTTTGATGGACACATCACCCAATATCCCTTCAAGGCATATCCAGGATTCACAAAAATCACGACTGACTAGGGAGGTATCTGAACTTGCCATCGAACCTTGGGAAGTCATATACACCATTCGACGCGCCTTGATGAGAGGATTCCAAATACGTAACAAAATCAACGGGAGCGCATAACGCTAAAAAGTTATGTGGGTTCAAAGTTCACCAAATGACGAAAAACACCATCTTTGAGACCCTGCATCATCCCGCGGAATGGAATTCAGTCTAAACTGATTAGTGCTTCTGGTTCAACAAAGAAAGCTCTTTCAAATGAGCTATATTACATACGGCTGCCAAAAAATGCCTCAGAAAATTTTTCGGAATGCGGTGTAAGGGTAGGGTAGGGTGATTCTGGCGAAGACTTTTTCGAGAATTTGGCGTAAAGCGCATGTAAGATAGCTCATTCGAAAGTGAATTTTTGCTGAGCAAGATGCACTGTTCCGTTTTTGACAAATTAGATTCTTGGAATTCGCGCATAGTCTTAAAAGCGTGGTTTTAACGATTTTGTCAACTTGGAGTTAGAGAACTTCCAATCCTGAATTTTTTTTCCCCGAAGTTATTTTATCATCGCTTGAGCTTTTTATGGGTCACAGAGTCAAGAAAAACTTATTCCCGAATTCGGAAATGTAAACAGTAGGAGCCGGGCAAAAGCAAAAAATAAAAATCGTGACTGGGTCCAAACCCTGGTCGTAAAACTCAGCGACCGTTGCGCACACCACTAGGCCACGCAGGCCCGTAAGAGGGGAAGGGGCGAGCCGCCCCCCCCCTGATATCGGCCGAAGGCCGAAAAGTTCATAAGGGGGACCCTTATGATTTAATTTTCCAAAAATTTTTTGCCTGCGGCGCTGTTTTTGTCTATTTTTAACACTATTTTTAGTGTTATGAACCCTATGTTTTCAAAAATTTTGCCTGCGGCGCTGTAGTTATAGTCATATTAGTGACAAATTTTTGGGATCCCCCCCCCCGAAATTTGGGTTTGTTACGGCCCTGAGGCCACGGGACCGATGGGAAGGGGAGCTGGGAGGGGCAAATATCGCAGCGGCCCTTCGGAGCGTAAAAATTAAAATGCTTATAACTTTTTACCGTTATGCGCTCCCGTTGATTTTGTTACATATTTGGAATCCTCTCATCAAGGCGCGTCGAATGGTGTATCTGACTTCCCAAGGTTCGATGGCAAGTTCAGATACCTCCCTAGTCCGTCTATAAAACAGCGCCTAATTATGCAAACGCTTTATCGATTTCTATTTCTATTTTTATTGCCGCGAGCCACGGCCGCCGATGCTACTGTAATTCACAGCATTTTTGAAACTTGAAAGGTCTGATTTAAAACATTTGAAATAGAATTGACTAAAAAAATAATATTCATTCGTGATATGCAACTCCAAAAATGTTTGAATTATCAATGCTGAAATTTGAAAAAAAAACACCGTAATTTGTCATGTTTATTTAGAACACTTCCCACATCGCGACTACCTACGCAAGCTAGGCCCTACAAGGGAAATCGGATACGGTATGAATTATCTGTCGAGATTCATACGTGTCGATTATTTTCAGGGCCTGCCACAATTACATCTCCACCACCCCATATCCACCACTCTACCACGAGAATATGCGTCAGAAATTATCCATATGATTTTTAGTGATTTGCTTGAATTTTTTAATTTGAAAATTTGAAAATTTAATTAAATTTGCGAAATAAATTTCTTAAACGTTAAATTTTTTAACAATTTAAATTTTTATTAGTTATATTTTTATTGATATATCAAAATCACAACAATCTTCGAAGGTGATTTTAGCAAATTTATTTTACTGAAATTTTGTAATGTAAAGCAATTTAATTCAGATCAATTCCGTCAAATGATCGATTGAATCACACGAAATGGCCATTAATTCCAAGATAAAAGCTCTTTGTTTTATCCAACGAATCACCACGACAGACGATGCCTCAAAAGCCTTATTTATCTTAATTTTACACAAATAAGCTTTTTTTTCAAAATACGGAAGTTTTATTGCGCGAGATTGGTGGATTGTTGATTTTGTATGCTAACGAGATCGATTGATTTTGGGTTTTTCCTACTCAAAACACCTTAAATAAACATTCACCTCCCGTCCTTGGCTGAAAAAAAAGCCCTGTCAGAGCCGGGGATCGAACCCGGGCCTTGTGCGTGGCAAGCGAACACAAAACCGATAGGCCATGGCGTGGATAGGCTCAAGATAGGACAGATCCTCTTCCCCCAAAGGCCTGACAGGTTTGATTGCTCTCAAATGAGTTATTCTACCGATTTTCGTAGTTTTTATTTTTAGTTAAGGCCCGGCAAGTCTACAAAATCCCGGAATTAGCAAAATGGCAAATTTTGCTTACTTGCGATCCAAAGTGATTGTTAAAACTTTATTTGTAAATTCTCGCGCGAGACAGGTGGAAATTTGTTTAATCCGTCTTTTATCCATCATTTTATCCTTCCAAAGCGTTGTTTTGACAGCAAAATAATCTAGTTTGCCTGATTCACGAAGTTTTTCATTCCGCCGGCTAACTCGTCAAATTTTGGTCGAAATTCGTTGAAAAGCGATTTGCTATGAAGGGCAGAGTATGACGATCATTTGTAGTGTAATTCGCATCATGAAAAGTTGTTAGAAATAAAAATCTATCAGGTTTTGCCTTCAGCGGCGCCGGATCGGGCGCTTGAGAAAAGGACAGATTCCCCCCAAACAGGCCAGGTCATCCAAGGGTTGATCGACTGCGTATTGGAGCAACTATCTATTCTCACCCATTTTTTTTTGTCATTCCAGCACTTTCACGACCTTGAATCCAAGACATCGATTGTTCCCCCCCCCCCGCCGGGTGCCACAAATTTTTGCTGCAAGATAATGGACGGGGCTAGATGATGATAAGTGGGGGGAAGTCACCCCTTTTTGGGAAGACCACTTTCATCTTGCTAGTCTCCTCGATATTTTTCAGCTAAATGTATTTAATTGAAGATATGGTAGGTTTAATTGTTTTGCTGGCTACACTTGACTTTACCCCCCCCCCCCGCCTCCCGGAATGTTTTGGCTATAACTTTTTTATTTTACTTTATTGTAGGCTCAAACTAAAACCTTTAATATTTTGACGCTCTATCGAATGCCCTTGCAAAAATCTCGAGAAAATAAGCAAAAAAACCGAAATGAGACTCATCGGCTGGGGGAGTAAAGTAAAGTCTTACCGTTTTTCTTGTAAAACGGGCATCTTCCTCGAAGCATTCTATAACGACTTTTTGCTGCTAATGTTATTGTTAAACAGCTATTGCTGATAATGCTATAAGTCAGTAATTTTGAGATATCATGGTGTAACGAGAAATACCGTTGTACACGATGTCATAATAATGACAATCCTGTGGATGATATCTTGATGAAAAGGCGAGAATTCGAAAATGATACTGGTAGACTGCTGGCCGACGTCGATTTGGAAGTGTTTCGTGAAAATGTAAGCTAATGAAGGTCAAGCAATTCTGTCATTATTTTCATAGGTACCTCGTCTGATCAACTGCATTAAATGCTATCAGAAATATCACCATTTCAATTACGAACCGGAAAATACGTGGATTGCTTTGGAAGAGGCACAGGTATCTTGTGAAAGAATCTGTAGACCGTACAAGCTCTAATTGCATAATACAGGTCCTCGTTCATTCAAATGCAATCCAACGTTATGCCGATACAATTATCACACCACTTGCTACACTTCTTTCTGACGCTTTTAGGCCAAAAATCGACGCTGCGTTTGGGGTTTGTATTATCTTGCGGAAACCCCTTTCTAAAGGGCCATTTCAGAAAGTGCAGAATTTGATGGCAACAATAAGAGAATCAAGAAATTGTGCAGAATATGTAATGGCTGTCAATCAACATCACTCCTTTTGTCTCAATTATCTCAATTATCTTCGTGATGTTCAACGGCAAATCGATCGAGTGAATACGGGATTTCAGGTCTGCTGATACGAAAAATTATATTTCGTGCTTTTAGCAATTAATTGACAATGGGAAAGTGGGAATTTCGACAGAAATTGGCGTTCAAGCAGGTTAGAATTTTTTCGAGCACCAGTTATTGGTCTGTAGTTCCGGAGACGACCCATTCTGAGACATTCTATGAAGCCGACATCCACGAGGTATCATATCTTAGAATTCAGTACATTGGCGGAAACGCAGAAGAAATGAAGTGCCTTTTTCTGAGGATTATTTTTGCATCAAATCCTAAAACAATATAAAACCACAACAATACCCTAAAACAATTTAGCAACTAGCTTCAGCTGAACTTGTGGAAATGGTCGACAAAATGAGAGAGGGAAAAGAAGTGACTGTGGCCGAAAAAGAGAAATGGGTGAAGAAGGCGGTCAAGAAGAAGATTATTGTAAGACGATGTTTTGACATCTGTAGTTTCATCATTTCAGCCGGCTGAATTCACATCGGAGCATGGATTGCGACTTTACATCGGGTAACTTCACGATTTCTATTAAAAGAGCGCAAGCTATAGAATTAGGGAAGGAGAGTGGAAGTCCGAGAATTTCAAGGGGAAAACGGATCTTCAGAAAATGTATTGTTCTTTCATTGAGGGATTAGGTATCTTATATTCATCTACAAAGAACAAAAGAATGTTAGGGAATATTCGGAAGGACGATCAACAGCTGTGGGTCTCCTTCTCTGCAACTAAATCTAGTGATATCATCCGGATGATCAATATTCTTCATTCTCCAATATTCCGCGTAAAATTTTGCTTTTCAAGACAACTAATCCCGCCTTCTTACTTTTTATTTTCACGTAATTTTTTGAAAACATTGGTGAATTTAGGAAGTATTGTCGAAAACCCGTTGCATGCTTTCACTTTCCACCAATACTGATCATCCAACCGAGGTAAACATTCTCCCCCACCCCCTTTTTTACATCAACGATTTTACAGACGGCTGTCTATGAATGGGCCGGTGTATGGAAACAGTTATTGTTTAATGGTCAGTGTCTTCTTTTCCTACTTATTCTGTATTTTGCTTTGTATCTGTATTTTGTAAAGAAATTTCTTGCGGTTATTGCCTGGGGATGTTTTTCAAGAACAGTGTTCAAATTGGGGCCTAAATACATACATACGGTAGCGGTCAAAAAGTGATCACCTTGGGAAATCGCCTGTATCTTGAATGCCAAAGGTCCAAATTCTGCAAAAATTCGAGGCTAGATCAATGCTGTAGCAGGGAATTCGATGGAAATTGAGCAATTCAGATACTGAACCTGAGTAATTTTAGAAGTAAAGCCTTTACTATACATTCTGTAATGTAATCACTAGGTTTTTCGTTGAGCGAGGATGGGATCAACTTCTCATCATTTGTCATTCGAAGTATACACGTAAATAAGGAAAATAAACATACGGCACCATCTGAATTATTTTTAGAATCTTTTGAATGGAGGGACGTCTAATTCTTCGGGATTGCATCTCCACAATGGCCCTTGGGTATTTTGAATTCATCAAATTATATCACAATTTTCTCCTCAGCATTTCCCATTTATCGGTGAGAAACAGAGGGCTTTTGAGGAGAAATATAATGTTCGAATTGTACTGATTACGGTGGAAGGGAACGAGAGGTAAGCATCAGACGGGCAGATTCTCGAAAATATCCAAGCAGATACGGTACATAGATTTCCACAAAAGACGTGTAGCTTCGTTGTTAGTATGTTTCCGAATAGCGTTTTGAAATGTCCTCTCATCCCTCGTCCCTGAGTCCACGTATTCAAATTGGTTGATCGAATTTGGATAGAGATCGTAAATTTGAAGCTTGTGGAATTTGACCTCGTCAGCACATTTTATGCTATTAGTACGCGCGAAATGAAGACAATTTTTTACTTTTCATTGATATTCTGATTTAGTGAGAGGCGATATCTGTGGATTTTGCCTCGCAACAAGGTACTGTATTTCGCAATATTATTAAGCATCAATTTCAGCCCAAAATAGCCATATACTTTATCTATGATTCGGATCGGTAGGTCTGCTTTACATTATGATATGAAATTGCATAGATATTTCAAAATTTCCATGGGTTCTCCCTCCGATATCGCGAAATACGAGCAAGCGCAGGTCAGTCCGAGCAAATTTTTGCCCATTTTGGAAAATGCCGGGCAACTGCCATTCGAATATTAAAATTCTTCAGAGACAAAGAATAATAAAGATACGATAAGATAGTTATAAATATAATCGGAATTTCAGCTGGGAATCGTTGCAAAAGATGAGGAAAAGAAAGTGACATCGGAGAAGATTAATGAATCGACATATAAACGGACCGTGGAACCGGAAACTGCATGGAATAGTTGGGAGGAGAGGACCTGGACGGTGGGTCATCAGAGCGGATATTAAAATTATTACGTAAGAAATAGCCACGACGGGGTTTCAGGCAAATCACCGACCGACATTTGATGTTATCAATTGTTTCCATTGTTTGAAGGGTCCTCTACCAGATATGTCTTATTGTCTGGAATTTGATGAAATGTGCTAAATAAATGTTTTTTAGGTAGTTTTCCATTATGAAGCATCGAAATATGTATGCATGCTGCCAAAGACCACCTGTTCAAATAGAAACTGCCAACTAAGGCTTCTAATTCCGATCGAACATACCCAACACACATGGAAAAACGCGGGGCATGTAGCCGCAGAGACATTTCGGTCTACTGGATTTTCGCGGAAAATTATTGTGACTGGAAGCGCTATTCCGGACGGTGACTAAAACTTACACTAGCAAAATAGAGCATCCAAAAATCTACTAAGGGTTTTAATTTTAGCTCAAAATAATGTAATATAAAATATTTATAACAAAAACAAGTATTAAACGTTGTCTCCATGGAGGACATAGAAGGAAATCAAGTTTTCGACATTTTCGACATTTTTAAAAAATTTCTTTAGTGCGATTCGACAGAGCGTCAAAAAATATACTAAGAGTTTTGTTTCTAGCAAAAAGAAACGCAAAAAAATAGTTGGCTCGGCCCCAACAGTCCGTCCCCCCCCACCCCGCGTAGCCGACATATACCTGAATCGCGAGTTCACAAAAATGAGGCTTGGCTCCTCTTAGACCGCTACCTTTCAATTTGTATTCTTTTCGAAATCGGATCGGAAAATGTTAATGAAATCTTTATAGGATAGTTAGTTTTTACCAGGGTTGACTTTTCAACCCTGGCCTCTCCGCGGGGGGCCTATACACGGACACTTTGCATATAACAATTTGCACAAATCTTACGATTTACTTTATGGATCTGGGCGCCACAGGAATTACGTGAGAAACCGTCTTCGAATCAATCATTCATTATCAAATCATTAAAACTAAAAACAGAAATTGATATCTCACAAGAATCACGGTGTGGCGCGTTCCTTATCTTTATTTTTGTCCAAATTCGGTAAAAAACATTTTTCGAATCGCGTTTATTTAATTTTCTCTCGTTTCGGCACTTACTTGACTGTAGGATTTTCACGACGCTTTGCATATTCGGGCTATCGATCGTTTCCCTGCAGGGGAGGCATATTTTTGCTGCAAGAAAATGGGCGGGTCCACTGTCTGATAAGGGGGAAGCTACTTTTTCTGGAAGCGATTTTCACTTAGTCTTCTTGACATTTTCTAGCTGAAAACTTGCGAGCAATGTATTCAGTTGAAGACATGGTATGTTCCATTACAGGGTGGCTCGAAAGAGTGCTGACCAAAACTTTTTCGTTTCTCTGAAAAAATAAATAGAAGCAGAAAAGCTCATTCCAACACATTATATCTTTTAAACAATTATCTTCCACATGATATAAACATTTTTTCTCCCGCGTCCCGCCACTAGAAAAAGCCGCGGGGACGCCGATGGAAAACGGGGGTGCTGGCACGGAGACACTCAATCCGAACTTGGCTCATAACTCGGCGAAGACGGTTCCGAGCGAATTCAAATTTGGATGGGAAGTAGCCAAGACTCTGGCCTTTCAGCCCAACAGCACGAAAAAAATCTGCGGGGATGGGTTGGGGTGCATGATGAGTCTTTTGGTCGTCTAAAAACGGTTTGGTCAAAAGCCTTAATAACGGGCCTCAGTCACTTGACCATGTTGGAGAGTTCTAAGCCATAGCTGCAACCGGATCTTTACCAGAAAGGACAGGCACCCTCCTTAAAGTGATGGGCAAGGTGTCGATAAGTATTTTTATCAACAGGAATTTTTTTTTAGATTTTCTTTTTTCGTCGTTTTCAAAAATCCCAGACGTTGAATTATGCAATTAAATTGCTATTCAAAAAGCTGGGCTGCTAGTGCGCTCCGCGCCTGCCCAAATTTAGCGAAAATCTTTAGGAAAAAGAACCCATAGCCCCCACCTTGCACGCACCTTTAAGGGAACCGAGAAATTCTATATACAAGCTCCGGCCACCACTCTTTCGGGCCACCCTGTATGTTCCTAACGAAGCGGGCAGCTTCCTCGAGTCGTTTTATCCAGGGATCAATAGTTAATATGAATGTCATTAGCAGAAATATATAGTTCCAAATGTTAACTGAAAGTAATTTTATAGATATCATGGTGTACAGAGAAATATCGTTGTACACAATGTCATAATAATGACAATCCTGTGGATGATATCTTGATGAAAAGGCGAGAATTCGAAAATGACACTGGAAGACTGTTGGCCGAAGTGGATTTGGAAGTTTTTCGTGAAAATGTAAGTCGATAAGGGCTACGTAATACCCCGCATCTAGATGCCCCGACTGATCAACTGCATCCGATGCTACCAAAAACATGATTTTTTCAACGATGAGCCGGTGAATCCATGGATTGCATTGGAAGAGGTCCAGGTTTCAGAGAAATATTTATAAAAAGCAATGTATCATTAGATACTCGTTCATTCGAATATTATACAGAATTGGGTCGATGAAAACACACTTTCTACAAAGCTGGCAAATGCTTTTGGGGAAGAAATCGAAGCGTTGCGCGAGGTAAATTTGATATTTTGTATTATTGTTTGTATTCTAGAAACAGCATCTGCTGTTGGCATCAATTAGAGAAACGAGAAATTGTGCTGAATACGTGGCGGCTGTCAATCTACATTCTGAATTTTCACAAAACTATCAAAATTATCTCCTGGAAATTCAACGGCAAATGCATAGAATGAAAACTGGATTTCAGGTCTGCTGATACTCTGACTTCAATTTGGCGGTGTTTAGCAATTAATTGACAATGGGAAAGTAGGGATTTCGACGGAAATGGGCGTTCAAGCAGGTTCGACATTTTTATTGAGAACCAATTGTTTATCTTTAGTTCCGGAGACGACCAATTTTGAGACATTCTACGAAGCCGATATTCAGGAGGTACTTTTTTAGTTTCGAGTTCAGAAAACAAGAAAAAGATGGCGTGCCTAGTTCCTGTGAACGTGAAAGCCAATTTTGGGCGATTGAAAATGCTAAAACAATTTAGTCTGCTGTTTTGCTTGAAATGGTCGCCAAAATGAGAGAGGGAGAAGGTGTGACTGCGGATGAAAGAGAGAAATGGGTAAAGAAAGCGATCGAGAAGAAGATGATTGTGAGGAAACTTTTGGAAATGTGTAGTTCTATTTTCAGCCGGCTGAATTCACATCGGAGGATGGATTTGACCTTACCATTAGGTACGTGGTGATTTATATTAGAAGGGCACAATTTCAGAATTCACCTCGGAGAATGGAAGATCAAGCATCAATTTGGGAAGGGAAAAACGGACCTTCAGAAAGTGTATTGTTCTTTGGTTGAGGCATTAGGTATTATATCTTCGTAGAATAAAACAAACAATATTAGGGAATTGCCAGGAACATTATCAATACCGCAGTCTCTCCTTTTCTGCAGCCAAATCTTGTGATATCAGCCGGATGATCAATATCCTTCATTCGCCAATATTCCGCGTAAGGCTTTTTTGCATTTTCGAGGGAATTATCCCCCTTTTTCACGTAATTTTTTAAACATAGCATTCTTAAAGAATTTAGGGAGTATTGTCGAGAACGCGCGTCTGGCTCTCACTTCAAAACATTCAAGAATATCCATCCGAGGTAAAACATATCTCCCTTTTTATATAAACCGTTCTATAGATGACTGTTTATGAATGTGCCGGTGTATGGAAACAACTAGTGTTACGGGGTAATCGTCTTCTTTTTCTATTCAATTGCCAAGAAATTTCTTGCAGTTTTTGAGTTATTAAGAATAGTTATGATATGCAATTTTAATCCAGAATGTTATGTTTCATTGGACTCCCTTGAATAATTTTTGAAGCGAAACTTTATGATACGTTCTGTAATATGATTAACAGGTAATGATTCGGGAGAGGATGGGATCAACTGTTCATCATTTGTCATTCGAAATATACAGGTAAGCCATGAGAATAGACAACCAAATAAAAATTCCATTTAGAAACTTTTGAATGAAGGGACATCAGAGGGTTGGGGATTATACATCCACAGTGGCCCCTGGGTATTCTGAATTTGTCAAATTATATTGCACCAGCCGATTACAGCCGCTTCGCGACTGTAATCGACTGGCCTTCGGGCTACCCTCCGTGTTATACACCACCACTTATACCTCCCCTTCATCAATACCCACGCTGGTCGCTTCAGATACCTTCTATGGCCAACCCCTGCTAAAAATTAGCTACTTTACTTGGCTTTAGATACTTCCGCTAGCCGAAATCCCCTAAAAAAACTACATCGATACCTTCCTGATGGCTTTAGATACCCCCCATGGCTGAAATCCCCTTCAAAAACTACCTAAATACCCTCCCGATGGTTTAAGATAACTCCCCTAGCCGAAATCCCCTTCAAAAACTACCTAAATACTTTCCCGATGGCTTCAGATACCCCCCATGGCTGAAATCCCCTTCAAAAACTACTTAAATACCTTCCCGATGGTTTAAGATACCTCCCCTAGCCGAAATCCCCTTCAAAAACTACCTAAATACCTTCATGATGGCTTCAGATACCCCCCATGGCTGAAATCCCCTTCAAAAACTACCTAAATACCTTCCCGATGGTTTAAGATACCTCCCCTAGCCGAAATCCCCTTCAAAAACTACCTAAATACCTTCATGATGGCTTCAGATACCCCCCATGGCTGAAATCCCCTTCAAAAACTACCTAAATACTTTCCCGATGGTTTAAGATACCTCCCCTAGCCGAAATCCCCTTAAAAAACAAAAATAACGACCGACCGGATGGCATGAGAGAAAAAAAGAAATGAAATCCCCTTGAAAATTTTCATCCACGAAACGCGCGCGACCTGGCTCACTATGTCCAAAATCGCCCCAACCTCCGTTCGCCCCCCGTTTACTAAGGAAAAAACTTTCAAAGTTAATTTTAATAATTTAAACAAAAACTTTTTCATAATTTTTTTATCAGTTTGGGGGTTTCTGAGCACGCTCTATCCGAATCCGAAGAGACCTAAGCTCTAGCTCCTTTCCCCTTCGAGTTGAATTCGGCTTCACACGGACAGACGGACGTCTCTACTTTTTTATTATAGTTGATTATCCCTTTCAGTATTTGCCATGTATCGGTGAGAAACAGAAGGCTTTTGAGGAGAAATATAATGTTCGAATTGTGCTGATTACGTTGGAAGGGTACGAGAGGTAAGCATCAAACGGGCAGATTCTCGAAAATATCCAAGCAAATACTTTACGTGTATTTTCACAATAGACGCGTAGCTTCTTTTTATTAGCCGGTTCGGGAAATTTGGAAGACATAATTTTGCATTGGCCTGTCATCTCTGGTCTCTGATTCTATGTGTCGACATGAAATTTTGACAGAGATCTCGAATTTTGCAAGTTGGGGATTTCGAGTTGGCCGGTAGATCGACATCTATTAAAATTTTTGAAGGGGGGCTAGGATTGAACTCGCGCGATCCTTGGTTTGGTAGGCGCACACTCATGCAATCCACCACGGCCCCAGAGAGGGCTTCCAGGCGAAGGGTACGAGTTCGATTCCTTCCGGATCTCAGCCCATATTTAGAAGCCGAATTTCTTTTTGCTCTTTTTTTGCAATCGACTCAGCTCGTTCTCTAGATACGATTTGATATTTTCAATTTCAAAATCTGCCAGTTTTGAGGTTTTTGGCCTAGTCTGAAGGACGTTTTGCGCGCAGTAAATGCTTTATAGCGGAACGAGGGAATCGGAGGGTAAAATGAAAAATACATCATTCAATGTAGAATTTTCTGGTGCATTTTCCTATAGTAAAAAGAAGTTACCCTCGAAAACCCGTAAAATAGAATTACTGTTTTGGGTACGCGAGATTCCGGTGTTCCGCTCATTTTCGTGCTTCACGATGTATTAGAGAAATGATCCCCATCCCAAATTAGATATTGTCACCAATTTTTAGCCAATTTGGTGCAGTAGTTTTGGAGATAATTTTTGAGGGTCGGCCACTTTGACCCAATTTTAACCCCAAAAATTAACTTTTTGTCGAAAGTTCTGTACAAAGTACAGGACTTACGAGGTTTAATTGGTCTGTGGGGCGGGCGGCCTTTCCCCGGGGTCCCGCAGCGCGCCCTACTACGGTAGGGAAATCGAGCGGCCTAGCTCTGTCCCGCATTTATGGGCCACTTCTTCCCTTCCCAGGGAGTCGTTGCCGCCGGTCATTTCCATGGCCGGTCGGGATTGAATAGGATCTGTGTGGTGGTTAGTCTACCCACAGAGCCCTGTTATCGGGTGATTTCCCTCCCCCGTGGATTCCCTACTTGTATTACACCCAGAGCTCTTTCCGCCCTTCCCTCGTCTTACTTCCAGTGGTTCTATTGGCCCTTTGTGTACTCTTCTCGGTTGCTCTTTTCTCTTTATATACTAATAAACCATTCTTATCCACACGTCTCTATTAGTGGTAATCGCATTGGATCTTATTCATGGTCTGCAGGGTCAATCTTCTTGGCATACATTAGTCTTACAGACCTCCACTGACCCGACTACCCGTGTATAGGGAAGTGTGATGGGTCGTAGGAGGAATAGGTGGCAAATCCTTCGCGTGGGCATTATTGGGATATTTATTCCTAATAGTGCGGATTGCTATTCCTTTTCGACATGGTGCGTCTAGCCGTTTGAGATAGAACCCAGGTCAAGATCCAGTGCTTTTACTTTCCTTTTCCTCTTTCTTCTAATTATGGTTTTTATTATTGTCCTCTTCTATTTTTCGATTACAAACAGAACAGCAACCGAGAAGAGCATCGAACTTCGGTTCCCAGATCATCAGTCCTTACACAAACAGTTTCGCAACCTGCTGTCGACGGATGGCCCTCGCCAGCGCCAAGCACCCCGTTGCCCCGAGAGGTACTGGCATTTTTAAACCCCTGGGTGCACGACTGGCCATCAGCTTATGGTCAATGTGCTTTGATTGCGGCACGAGTTAGAGCTAGTCTCAACTCCACGCGGTGTTTCAGCTTGAGGGGTGACGGGCGGTGAGTGGAAGCGTTACCAGTTTTTGAAGGAGTTGCTGTATGAGAACCAGATCGATGAAGCACTACGAAACCACTTGGTTTCCCAGATCAGCGTTTAATTGTCATTGCAAAGACAATTTTTCCAGTCAAATGGAACCCAGAAGATTTGCATTTACGACCAGTCGGCGGCCACCGGCGATTTCAGCCCCGAGGCACTCCGTTACACCAATGGGCACTGGCACTATTGACGCTCGGGCGCACACTGGCCATCAGCATATGGCCGGGTGTTACATTAAGCGGTAACGAGTTAGAGCAAGTCTCAACTCTACGCGGTGTTTCAGCCAGAGGTGTAGCGGAGGAAAGGAGGATCGTTTTTACATTTTTTCCAGGAATTGCTGCATCAAGGAAATCCAGGTCATCCCAACATGAAGCCACCCAGATATTGTCGACGAATGTTTGGAGAACCCAGAGGCGCAACGAGGAGGAGTGAAGAAGGTTTTGGGCGCAAGAAGAGTCGGCCATCTACGCGTGACGGAAAAACAGACCGACACAGCAGGAATCTTGGCGCGGCCAAGCCAGAAGCACACTCCATTTCACTCCCAGACTAGCCAAATTTTTATTTTTTAGTTTCTCGTCGGCTGGCGATGACGCCCGAAGAAGGAAGACTTGCTTACACACAGTTCAAGCCGTGTTCAATGCTGTGCGGAAGGAAGTAGCCCACATTTCCAGTGCTTCGCGACAATGCACATGGTCAAGACGATGAAGTTGCTGCTTTCCTCACACACAGATCATCGGTAACGATTTACAAATTTCCGAAGGTTGCTATTAATCAATGGCCGTCGCAGCCGTTGATTTTTTGGCGCTGGAAGAAAGTTGTAGATCGCTCATTGAACCAGTTTCGGCAGTTTCACGAGGCTTTTGCGTGCCCACGGCCTTGGGAAAGTCGATGGCAAGCATTTGCTGTTCACACCCAGTCCACCAAAGTAGGACTAAATTCCTCCCACCATTTTGGTCTAACTTTTTCTTGAATTCTTACTTTTTTCTTTCAGCTTCTACGCTCGAAGTTGCATCCAATTCAGTCCACAGGAAACGAGGAGGCCTGCTGTACGTGTCCATACGCGTCAACACTTTGGCGCGCCGAAAGGGCGGTCCCCCACAATCATTTTTCACACGCCGCCACCAGCTCGCCTTCCAAACAGTCAAGAATGCGGCTTCCAACAACAATTCGAGAAGAAAATAACCAGACCTTCGCTCCAGCACACCACAAATACACAGATCTACCACACACGGAGCTTTGAGCTGTGCGAATTCATTCGCAAAGTTCACAAACAGTTTTTTCTTTCAAACGCATTACAAACAGCTCTTCTTTTCCTTCATTTCTCGCCAGCCAGCGCCGGATCACGAAGAAAGAAGGAGTTTCTCATTGGCGATGTTGCAAGGATGGAGAAGCGGCTACGACGACGAGGCTATGAGACGCTAGCAACAACATGCTGATGGGGCGATGCAAGAGCAGAAAGGTACGGGTTTTGGAAGGCATTACCGCCAAGCTTGGGTGAAAGGGTTGTAGAGAGCAGCTCGCTGCCTTATCTACGGCTCTGAATCCCATAAGCTTTCGTTTGCGAGAGAATGTACGATTTTTTCGCAATCATTTCTCGAGCATTCGTTTCCAAAAAACTACCAATTTGTTTTTGTTTGCCTTACATCCAGAACATCGCGCGGATTGTCTTTTGCCGAGGCCCAGTATCACGGAAAGAAGAAACAAACAGATCTACGAATTCCTTTTGTATTCATTCCAGAGAGGACCCTTATCTTTTCGCGGCGTCACTGCCTTTTTGCTAAATTTTACATACAGCTCTCTCTTCACATACTGCCCAGTCCGATCATTTACTCGTGATTCGGTACAATTCGCCAAGAAGCAGGAGCTGCAAGACAAGATCAAGGCTATCATAGTTCAGCCGCCCCGAGGAAGCAAATCTTTTCTGGATCCAGTTTACAATCAGAATATTTGTAGAGTGAATATCACTTGGTGGTTTTCATTCTACACAGATCTTCGTCCCATCCTTTCCCCTTCCCAGTCATCAAGTAATTGGAGACAAAACAGTGGCGTTGCGTTGCGAGATGCAAGCGAGGCCTTTCTACAGAGCTCAATCCATTTTTAGACTATCGGTGCTCGCGGACCTTCACGCCCGCCTTTCCGGTGCTGTGCTACGTTGACCGATCAAGTCCAGGACGCAACGCCTGCAATCAAGGCCACAGCTCGCTTCGTAATCGACATCACTGCAGCTTTGGGACAGCTATTACATACAGATCTTCGTTTCTTTTGGTATTCCTTCCAGACAACACCTTTTTTCTTTCTCGGCTTCAGTGCCTTTCAAAATTCACACACAGTCCAGCGCTTCACACGATCTTATCCAGTCCAATCCCTTGGGATCCGGGCGCAGCACAACAACAAGAAGAAGACGCCTCGGACGACAAACATTGCGTTCAAGCAGTTCAGCACGCCGCGGACGAAAGAAGCTTTGCCTCTGGACACAGTTTACGATCAGAAATTTGCAAGATGGTTGTCATTTGTGACTTTCATTCTAAACAGATCTTCGTCCCCATTTCCCCACATCCAGTTCTCCAACAACAGACCTTGGCAAGGAATCGTTGGATATTGCGCGGCTTTCGCGGGTTTCCCTGCGTTGCCAATAGCAATTGCCCCGAAACCAGCCAAATAACATTACAGACAAGAGAATTGTGATATCTCTCTCCAGGCCTTCACTCGAATTACATCCAGCTTGCACAGAAGATTTCAAGTTGAACAGCGCCAACAAGGAATCGCTGTCCGATCCTCTCGCGGCTGCCATGTGAAGCCGGGACGAAGCCCCCCGCGTTCCAAGACAACAGCAAGCCAAGAAAATTTGGTGTTGCGCACGATGTTGTGATCAGGTAATTTCGTTTTGGGTTTTATTTTCAGATATTCGACGTGCCAAGTGACCGTGACTGCGAGTTCTTTCGCTTTCACACAGATTTGCTGCACCTAATACGCCCAGTACGAAATGTACCCAGTCCAACAGAAACTACGCATTCTATTCCCAGCCAGCAAGCAATTGATGGCAAAAACAGTGCTTCACGTCAACTCGATCAAATGCAGTTTACAACCATGGAAGTTCTATACTTTCACACACCCAACAGACAACATCGAGCAGGCGTTATTTCATCTTC